CGCGGCCAAGAGGAGGACAAGAGGAGGACAAGGCCCAGCCACAGAGCTCAGCCACAGAGTTCAGGGGCGCGGCCAGTGAGTGTGGCCAGCTCTTTTCTTTCTAAGATAGAACCCCAACAGTAAACTGTTTGGGGAAAAAAACAAACAACTAACTGACCAACATCACACGCCCGTGAACCCGAACTACCTGCGAAGAAGCATCTTGTTCGGCAGCCTAGACCCAGATGCGCTACCAGACCCAATTTGTAGCCCTGGCTTTACTTCAAGGTTTAACCTTTTCAGTGGAATGGTCATGGAGTCTTAAGAATGAACCTCTTCTGGATGCTGGTTTAAACAGTTCCCAAAGCAACTGGGGTAGTTATTCCCAAATAACAAAGGGTTGAGCATTGTTTTTTGACAGTAAAGAGATATAAAAAACAAAAAATTTGTTGAAAGATCTACGCCCAGCCTTCGCACTGACCACTTCCAAGAAAACCATCTGCCCGAAACGCGGCTTCCATCCCCGAAACGCACCGGGGTCCTTCCAGTCGCCCAGCCTTCCAGGCGGCTGCTTGAAATGGCGGTTCTGTCCGAAACGCCATGGCGGTTCGTTCCGAGCAGCGGAAAGAGATTCGGAAAGTAATAACCATGACATCCCTTCAATGTCGATGAATTCCATTGGAATCGTTCTGCACTCGTGGACACATTCTAGCTCCGTGACCTGGTGTCGCTCTTTGATTTTTCCTCGCCCGTTCTGCTTGAGCCGAGAAGAGGTGTCACACTGCTCCGTTCGACGTCCTTTGGGTCGAAATTGCCAGAGAACATGGATGGATTCCGGGTATTTCCATATTGCTGATTTGACGCATATCGAATTTCCTCTCCAAATGGATGTGGAGTGGGTCTTGCCCACCTGTCTGGTACAGTAATCGAACAAAAAAAGAATTAAAAAGAATCATCCTGATCATGGGCCTTTCAGGGGACTGGTCTCTGATCATGGGACTGGTCTGGCCGTTTTTTCTGCTCGAGAAGGTGAACAGAAAACATCAGAAAACCCCATGTGCATGTGGGAAGGCTCAAGCAACCCGGACAGTCGGGCTGCGGACTGTCCTGTGGGCGTCAATGCGTAGACCGTGGCCGTGGCCCAGACCTTTGCCGGTCAGACCCCCTAAAAAGTCACCCATTCCAGACCCTACTAGTAGTTGAGGGGGTTATTAGACTATAGACCCGAATGAGGCTTCAAACAACCATTGTTTTAATGGTCTTTACCAAAAAAAAACATGTAAAAAAGACCATTGTTTGTCTTACTTTTACACTACACCACCGGGTCAACCATTTGACCCTGCTTGGGTCCCTTTGGATCGAATTCCGGACCCACCGAGTTCCACCCGCGTGTTGTTCGAACGTGCCCGCCTGGCTCGTCTGGGGTCTCCACGCAGCTTGGTCTGCTATCTTCACCACAGTGAGTCCCAGAGAGTTCCACCGTGACGAGGTGTGAGGTGTACGTACTTTCTTTCCATTGCTATTAGGTTGGAGGCCATCGCTAGTAGGTTGGAGGCCATCGCTAGTAGGTTGGAGGCCATCGCCGTGTTGACTGATCAAGTCCCGTGAGGGCGTGATGACTGGTCTCTTCCGCGGTCAGCCGCAGATCTCCCTGTGGTTTTCTGGAACCCAAAGTCAGGTTCACACCACATGTATTGCTTGGAGCTGGCGAAAACCCTATTGTCTTCGAATTGTTGGTCCTTTCAAATGCACTAGATAGGTGGAACCTCTATATGGGTGTATTGCTTGGAATACGGAGACCCCCCATTGGTTAAACCCTCGATCTTTCTGTTTTGTTGGCGCGTGATGGCTGGGGGGCCCCAACACGCATATATACACGCCAGTTCTGTGATTCCATATGTTTTTCAGATGTGCAGCCAACAAATGATGAGAAAACACCGGCAAGTTGCGCCCAGTTGCTGCGACCCAGCTGACCCTCCTAAGATGTCGACGGGACGGGCCCAAGGGAGTTCTTTGGAGCGTCTGGGTGATTCACTTTGCCTCTGAATGGGGTGAAAAGCCCAATTCGCTTCCTTCATCGTTCAACGAAATTGAGTCTCCAATCTAGACAAACAAGGCAGTGTTCGCTCGCGTCATGTATTGTTGGATAGATGGATTGGCCAGGACGTTCTCAAATCAAAGAAAAAGACGTGACACCAGCTCCATAATCCAAACAATAATCAGCGATTCCTCTCTGGAGTGCAGGTGCGCGACATGCGACATGCTTTTCTCTTGGTCAATGATGCAGTCCCTGACCGAGTCGTCAACCGTTTCAGACAACTTGCCGACCTTGTTCGTGGACTGAAGAGACGCCCCTGCACTCCGGTTGAGTGTGGAAACACCGGCGACAGCTAGTTCTTGGCATGGTTCACCAGTCAAAGCGCCTTTCTGTAAGTCTGACTTGGGAGCTATGATTGACATGTCGTCCCCAGACATGAACACCGTCCACTTGAACTGGTGCCTTTATTGAAACTCAACATCAATTTTCCGTTCGAGGGTCGTAACTCCTCCAGTTGACTTTCTTTACATCTCTCGTCTATTCCAGGCATAACCACTTTGCCCTTCGCCTTCAAAAACGAGTGGATCCGCTCGAGAGCGGCGGCGGCGGGTTTCCGCAGCCGCGCCGGTAACTTCTTGCTTTGAGGCTCTCATGAACTGCAATGGTGGCTCTGGTGTTCGTTGAAAAGCTGCAAAGGCCCCCAGGGTATTTCACAAGTGTTCGCCCACATGTCCATTTCAGCGAGTGTTCACCACAGTCTCCCACCCATTCTTTTTTGAGATCAATCCATTTCAGCTGAATTGGGGGTGAGATGGGCCATGGGAAGTGTGCTTGGCATTGCTCTCCGCTCCGAGGGATTCGAAGGGTGGAATTGGACCGAAGGACATGAAGGACCCGTGGTCATGAAGGTTGACTGGGTGACCTTGGAGAACTTTGGAGAATTTGTTGGGTTCTTTTGGGGTTCTCCATCAAACCAGCTAGAGAACATGCTGAAACCTAGGCAGAAATCAAGCGCTCCGCGGAGTGTCTGTGAAAAAAGAGGCGGGCAGTGTTTGTTTCCACACACAGACACTCGATGGGCACACCTAGATTGGGGTGGTTTCAGGTATCAATGAGGAACACGACCAATAGGTATCGGTATCATCCATTAATTCGGAATTTGCTTTGAGAGCTAGCTATGATTCTCTAACTAAAAAGACCGACCTTTGCATGTTCTGGAGAGGCACCCTCAATTGCTTTCACTTCAATGCACCCTCAATGGTCGCGTACGCAGGGACCTGTTGAATGGTCGCGGACGCAGGGACCCAAGTGCCACCGACAACGACGGACCGGGGGACATCGCAGGGACCGGGTTTTCTGTCTGGACGAAGCCGTGTTTTTTCCGTCTTGAAAGTGGGGCACGACCAAAAGTGAGCTGCCCAAACACGACCCTGGACCCGAATCCTATGGAGGGGTGTCTCAAATCCAGGGAGGGACCGGCTGTGAACGGAGCGTCGGGCTGCTTCGATCCAGCGGCTCCTCAAAAGGAGGTCTTTCTGTGCTGGAAAGCATCTTCCGCTGCTTCGACTGCGTCAGACTGACGCGACTGTCGGGTGGATTCCTTCCATCAACATCAGGACTCAGGACCATTTGTCATACTCGTTCCTCCATTCTTCTTGTTCACACCTTCCACACCAAAGTGCACAACCACCACACACACTATCCCACATTATCATGACACCCGCGCGTGGAACGGCCATGAACGGCCTCAAAGACACTTGATGTTTCTTCTTGGCGCGAGACACACACACACATGCCATGCGCACACACGCGTACCGCACACACATGTATACACATGCCATGCGCACGCACACACACATGCCACGGTCTTCGTCCAATCGTGACGGCACCGAAGGCGGCACCGCATGGATGTCGCCGAAGGCGGCCACCGAGAGCTTCGAGCCCAACATCTTCTTGGCGCAGTCGGCGACCTCCGGCGCCACGTTCGACACAGGTCACGTCCCGGTCACCGGTCGGTCGGTCACCGGGAGAACGGAAGCTCAAATGGAATTGAAAGAAACCGTATTATAAGGCCGGACTGAAGTGACTTTTTGGACTCAAGGGGTAGTTGAAAAATGTTAACACCGCATTGGGTCTATCCATGTCTATCCTATTTCCAGGGCCCAGCAGATGATGACGATGACGATGACGATGACGGTGGGGGTGGTGGGGGTGGTGGGGTGGTGGGGGTGGTGGGGGTGGTGGGGGTGGTGGGGGTGGTGGTGGGGGTGGTGGTGGTGGTGGTGGTGGTGGTGGCGGGGGTGGTGGTTCAGTTGCAGGCCTTTCTCTAAAATAGTGATAATTGTTACCGACTGTTACAGGTAAAAGACTATACTTTACTATACTATAATACTATACTCAGTGTAGTTGTAATGTCAGGGTCAAATTGTCCCAACCTCTTTAAGACCTATAGGTACACCCCAGAAACAAACTTGTTCAAAACTATTAAAACCATCTACATCATGCCTACCATTATGGTCTTGTAAATAACATGCTGCTACGCCGTCTGCCCTATCGATTTCCATTGGTATTTAGTTTTGATGCACCAACACCTGCAACAAATCAGAGACAAGCGTCTTCATGGAAGCAACACATGATTTCCCGCCCCTCCTGCCCCTCCTACGCAAATGCATGGTCATCTTCGACTCTCATGGTGCTCCCTCAATCTGGGATTCCAGTGCCCCTTGAACTCGGTTTTCGGAAAAAGTCGTCGAAACTGCATCTTCTTTCACTCTTCCTGGCTCAGGCGCCTCAAAAACCCAACGCTGCCGCCACCGGCACAACACCAGTACCTCCATCCCGGAAAAAAAAAAAAAAACAGTACCAGCCTCAGCTTCCGTCACCGCATCGATGATCTTCGTGAACTCTGCCGCGCTGCCATACCTTCGCTTCGCAGCTCGCACCGCCCGTACCGACCCAACGACCCAACGACCCCGCGGGGTCTTCGGGCGAACGTCAAGTCGCCCCTCGATTCGGCGCCTGAAAAAAACAGTTTGGATACCAAGACCCGAACGACCCGAACGAAGCATCCGTTGGGTCTTGGGGGGACCCCTGCTGGAGCTGGTGAAAAAAAAAAATTGAATACATCATGTCCACCAAACTCCTGAAATCCGAAACACGAGGAGAGAAATCTCATGGTTGTTGGATGTCGTTGGGGGACTCCCTGCGGGATGGTGCGGATTGGGAATCAGCCACGGCGGAGGTTACAAACACCCTGAAATGAACAGAGTGGTCTGAGAGGGATGTCGTCTGATTTGGACACCTGCACCTGCTCAGTCAAACCGAGACACAAACAGCCACTCTTTCTGGAACCACCACCATGACCAAATGAGACCCGGCCCACAATAGTGTGGAATGCACTAAAGGCTACTACAGGCCCTAGTTTCTGTGTTTTCAGGGCTTTGGGATTTTACAATGTTGAGCATACAAATGCATGTACGTATATAAGTACAATAAAAGACATCAGAACCAATTCCAATCAGACCTTTCACCAACACCCTATCAGGGAACATTGACCCCAAATGGTTTATATTCCTTGGAATGCACAAAGATCTCAATCAAATCATCCTCCCCCTGGCTTAGGGAGCAATCCCCAGATGGTTCACATGCTAATCTGCTGGTCTTCTTCAAATGGAGCCATCTCACAGAAGTCCACAGCACATCGTTCAGCTCATGCAGCCGCACCTACCCAAACTGCGTCAGGACCATCGCTGGCCTGATCAGAGGACCATCGCTGGCCTGCTGCTTCTTGCCCTCCCAAATGCAGGGGCTTGTGGTGAAGCCCCCTGCCCTACACTTGTTACCATCAGACTTCTTCAGCACACTCCATGCACACACCCTGGTTTTGCCATGTTGCCTGCGAACAGAATCGGCTCTTGCAAGAGCCAAGTCTTCCACCTTCAGTGGAATGGTGTAGCCACCAGCTGTTGTGCTAGCAGCTTCTTGACCATTAGAAAGAGACCTGCACATTGCACAAGCACCCCTTTTTGGGCTCCATTGTTTGGATTTGACAGCATCTCCCAATGTCATGTGCTCACACTTCCTGGGAGATGTGTTGGCAACAAGTTGCGCACCCTCCAAGCACTGTGGTTGCTTGTTCTGCCAATCTCCGACTTCGTGCGCACTGACTTTCCATGAGCCTTGTCGTCGCACTGACTTCCAGCTTGGGTCGACTCGAAAGACTCCACGATATCCCAATTAGCCTGGCTCGTCGTGCAACTGACATGCCCCAACTTAGTTCCAAGTTGAATCAATGCTGTCTCTGTGGATGACCTTGTCAGCCCTTGGAAAAGGGCTGCACAGCATTATACAAAGATTGTGTTTCCCTCCCAAGAAAGTCTTGCTCCTTCTTAGTTTTCACTCTTGATTTTGCCAGTGATCAAAGCACTCCTAGAGGTGAGCAGCAACGGAAATCCCCAGGTCTTGCCAAGCAAAGAATGGATGGCTTCCCAGCGTGCCTTGTTTGGGGGTTTCCCGCCATGTCATGCTTTTTTGGCAGACAATGACGACGGGAACAAGCTGTGGTGACAGCAATGACTAGCCACAGGTGCAACATCAAAGATGATGAACCACATGACGTTTCAATGACAACAATGACAACAACAGGAGCAGCTTCACGCAGTGACAACATGTGACAACACGTGACAACAAAAAAAGAAACGACAATGACAGCAACAGAACAGCCAAAAGAGAACATGGCAAGAGCAGCACCAGACCAGCCTAACAACATCAATGGCAAGCCACACCGCAGCTACAATAAACCCCCACGATGAACGCAGCAAAGCCATGCAAAGCCAAACAAAATGATGTCGTCATTTTGTGAACCACAATCCTGCTCCTGCTTTGCATGAGGCGAGCTAACAGCCACTGCTTGATTTGGTTCTTCTATGACGGGCTCTGGTAGCTATCCAGGTGGAATATGCACGTTTGGCTTGCCACATCTTTTTTGAATTGCCAGGAAACAAACCACTATATACATGCCACAACATAGGCAAATTCTGACAGCACAGCAGTAAACACACTGCACCTCAATGCAATCTGTCAAGGCTGGTGACATTTTGAAGCAAAAAAAATCACTTGGGGAAAACCTGCTTCTCACATACACATTTCATAGCTGCTACAACAATCGTATTTAATTGGAAAGCACGAGTGAGAAAACCAAGACTGGAATTCAGAAGTTGAATTCATCTATGGAGAAAGAAACTCTATACAAACACATTATGTCAAACCACATCTATAAATTGCATCTACGTTGGAAGCTTGAATCCTCCAACCTCTGGTGGTGGGGATATGTAGGGATGGTATCAGGGGTGGTTCGGATGCTCAGACTCAGACCTTATTGACCTGGGCGGCGAGGTAAAATAAAAATAAAACATAGTATGTATATATATATATGGCCTCTTTCTGAACCAAGACTATCGGACACGCTTTCTTGACGTGCATGTCGGCCTATGGCAATTGTATATATCTATCTATATGGCCCAAGGAGCGAAGAACATAAAAGTGATTAAAAGTGGAATACAGCCTGTTCATGGAGGAATTCAGTCTTCCGTTTAGGGCCATGTTCCACTTCCATGTTTGTTGGATGGAGGGTATATATAACTAGTTACTTGTCAGAACATGTCTTGAGAGAAGATAGAAGGCAGTGAAGCAGGGATACATAATCCAACATGCAACAGCATGACATCTCTGGGACTTTGTTTGAATACCAACTCAAGTTGGAAAACTGCAACATTGGGAAACTGGGGATCTGGGGCCTCTAGAAGAAAAGAGGAAGGGGAGGAACTTCCCTCGTGAGCTCGGTCAGCCCATCGAACTCTGGGAAAACTTCATCAGACTCTTCGCTCCCAGGACCGTTCCACATCAGACCCTTCGTTCCACATCACATCGGACGAGCTGAGCAAAGGCGGATCGTTCTCTGAGGTCTCGAACTTCCCCGTGAGCAAGAGCTGCTGTCCCATGTCCTGCATGAGCTCCGAATCGTTGTCCGCCTGGCCGTACGTGGGCCATGGGGGACGAGTCCCTGGGCTCGCAAGCGCATCCACAGAAAAAATTGAAAAACAGATATATACACCCCCGAAAACTAACATAGACCCTGACAATGGCCCCCTGGAAGATTGTTTCCTCTACCAACCAGTGGTTTTCGGGGTCCATGTTAGGGTGTATATATATACACACAATATGGCATCCTGAAAAGATGGATACTTTGACGAGTGGGACGAAGGTCTGGATACAAGGATAGGGTATGTCGTGGATCCCTTCAAACCGATTCGAACTCTAAAGATCTCTCCACGCAAATCAACAGCGGGAGAACCGTAATCGCACCATTTTCTTCACGCAACCTACAAACGAGCTCAAGGGGCCCCTTTGAGAAAGAAAGGGCCACAAGATGAACGTGAACTGACCTCCAACTGAACTCATCACACCGATAGAATTCCTTCTCAGTTCAGCGCTTGACATCGTCACCAAATTTACGATCGAGTGCAACAAATGATCCCTTGACACACGAAGTTCAGGAACCGAAATGCACC